AATCTGCAGGAAGAAATGGCGAGCAAAAAAATGAAAATCAAGAAAATGAAAAGAAAATAATATAACGAGCGCATATTAAAGTGGGTTTATTTATTTTGCCCTCGACGCTGTTGCCACTTTGGCCAAAGGTATAGGACACGCAACGGCAGCAGCGAGTTGGAGGGCGGGAAAATGCGGCTGGAAAATGGGTGGAAAATGGGTGTTGTATAACGGCAGCTTCGGTGGCGGTACGAGCGGTTGTTCCCTCTGTGTCTCTGTGTTTGCTGTCGTGTTTATTAAAAAATAATTTCCATGCTCAACTTGGCAATGCCGCCAGTGCTAAGCCGTCAGGATACAGGATACGCCCCTTCTTGAAGGAGTATGTGTGTGGGTGTGCTATCAACAGCTTGCATTCTCAAGTGTCCCGGAGAAAACATTTGAAACAATAAGCTCACAGGACCTTCCACCCTCATGCAAATTCAATAATGCGACATCGACAACAACAACGACGACACTAAATTATTCAAGCCGGAAAACGAAGGAGAAAAAATGTAAATCTGTGATTTTAATGCGTTTGCCAACTGTAAACATAAACCGAAAATATTACAAAACTTGTGCAAACAGGCGGAGCAATAAAAAAGTGGGAAAAATGCGAAGAAATGCCGTGGGGTGCAGGAAATCGCCATCGAAGGCAGGAAAAAGGGAAATGAATACGAATGCGCGTATGTCAATTTAATGGGCGGAAACTGTTTTGCGTGGGCGTGGCACATGCTGAAGTGCTTTGGCAGGCACCAAAAGAAATATGAAATATTTATATGAGCATTTTCATTTATTGAGCGTAACAAATGTGCGCAAAACAAGAAGCAAACCAAATGGGGATGGGCGAATGATTCACGGCAAAAGGTGAAGGACGCAGGATTCGCTGCGAACGTGGAGCTCACCTGTGCAGGTTTTTCTGTGCGTGCAGGATTGCCATCATCATAATCATTGGCAGATGGCCCCGTCCTTCACCCACACCACCTGCTTTTACCACCCATTCCGCCGAGAGAGACAATCTGGCCCCACTTTCCGCCGCTCGACCCACTCGAAACTTTCGTCATAAATACTCTGTCTACAGCTGTCATACTCTGCCATAGGGTAGTTCTGTATTACAGAGCAATAGGTTTTTAAAGGTTTTTTCTTTCAAATGCTAGCACTTTCTGTGGCAGTTTTGTTTTAATATTTAAAATATTGCTTGTTACCTATAAAGAGTAATATTAATTTAAGAAAAGAAGGCAATACTTCAGGTTTTTTTGAAGAAGTAGACTTTTCTATGATTGAACTAGAAGAATACCCCTTATACGCCAGCAAATTTGTATGTTTGAAAGCTAACCTCCAACAAACAACTTTGGGAAATGTTTCCTCTGATTAAAATGCGTTACAGGGTATAGGGAAGTTCGGTTTTTAGAAAGTCCGCTGTTTTTGTGTGTGTCCTGGTTTCTTTTGTTTCGCTTTCGCTGCCTTGTGCCCTTGCTTTCGTTTGGTTTCGTTCCTTTGTTTGTTTATTTGCTTGTTGCGGTATTCGGGGAAATTATTATATTTTAATTACACATGCGTTTGCTGCCGCTGCGCAGCTGCAGCGCTGCCGGCGTCAAGGCAAGGCAGAGCAAACAGTCGAGAATGGCCCAAAAAATAACCACAGAAATGTAAATGAAAATGGCGTGAAAAATCAGTTTCATGGTTTTTATATCCCTGTTTATTTGTTGTAAATGAGCGCATTTTGCTGGCTACGTGGGCGGGGGAGGCGTGGCTTCTTTCCATCAGGGGGGCGAAGGTGGGGGGAGGGGGCGTGGCAGTGGGCGCGGACATAACGGAAGTTGATTATGACCATTTAGCATGGCCATGGCCACATCGAACGCGAGCGTGGCCAGAAATGTGAAATGTGTTATTCGTCCTGTTGCCAACGTTTTCACTGTTGTGTCAGCCTAATTAATTTTTGTCACTAATGTTTATATAGTTGGTAACGGCGTGGTAGCGTCAGCAGTACAGGTGCTTCCCAACACTCGACCAAGCAGCTTTATTACCCAATTACATTAGCAGGAGTGGGTGCTGTTTTTTCTTCTTTTTTTGGCGGGGGAGAGAAAACGTGCTTATGGGGGAGTTGCTACACAATTTACGGTCTCTTGATTTTCTTGTGAAAATACTCGTATATAAGGTGAAATAAAAAATTACTATTTGTGTGCTTTCAAAACGTTATCACCTGTTTAATGCAACGGAATTGAAATAATTTATTTATAAAAATTGATGTTTTAGGAGGTGAGATATTCCGACCTGCCTACCGCCTCCCGCTGTTTTTCTCTACTTGCAACTCCCTATCATGCCGCCTATCATCCGCAGCTCTCAATATTAAGAAATAACAACTTGCCGAGGGCAACTGAGCACTCGAGGACTTCGGGAGGGGGCACAACAAGAGGGGCAGGGGCAGGGAGTCGTGTGGCAACTTTGCTTTTGGGGTCTGGGATGTAAACAGGCGAGGCAAATATTTAACTCGCAGGCACTCGCAGCGGTGTCTCCTTAGTGTCCTGCCTGTGCGTGTGTTGGTGCGGAGGCTGCCACAGCACACACAGACACACACATGCTTACGTATATCCTTTGGTACTTGCAAACTTTTCTCCAGCGGGAAGCTTGGGGCTCTGCTGTCGCTTATTTGTCGCAGCAGTTGAGCTCAAAGCTTTGGCTTGTTACACTTTATGAAATCAGCTGCAGTCCTGCCACGCCCCCTGAACCCTGACCCCTGACCCCGTGCCACGCCCCGCACACCACTCCCTTTGAAGCACAAGTGTTTATGTTTGTCTTGGCGAGGCGGCGGCTCATAAAGTCCCTAGCAAGCGAGCTGCCAGGACCGCCAGGACCTCCCCACTGCTGTCAAAAGTCACGTCGAGTCCTGCGAATGTGATTTCCCCGCTCACGTTCCTCCCAAAAAAAAAGGAAAGGGAGAAAAACCCCACCCATCCTTTTGGCATGTCTCTGCCATAAACTTCAACTGGAAATTGTGCGTAATTATATTAAATTTTTATTGCCTCGCACATGAAATGGAAACGATGCAGCAATTTCCGAAAGAGACTCCAAGATTATCCACATGCAAATTGTTCACATGGCATGTGGGTAAATAAAATGCTTGCCGTAATTTAAGTGGAGCAACGATTTGGTAAATTGATTTTAATCAAATCAGGAGCATGTTCTTGTTCTAGTTAGTACCAAACTAGCTGGAAAGGCGGTTAATTTTAATTAAATTTGAGAATCCCTGCAGACTTTATAGCCTTGGAAAAGTTAAGGCAACTTACCAGCCAAGTGCAATGTTCCACTTGAAGTTGAAGATCATCTTGGATAGTATTCTATAGTCGCTTTAACTGCTCTGTTTGTTATATAGAAAGTACTGGTAATAAATGCGGAAACTTTGGCAATATAAACTCAAACCCTTTAGGAATCTAATGATCTAACCAAATTGGATCGTTTCCTGTTCCTGTATCGCATTACCGCCTAATCATGTTTGTGCACCTCACCCACCTGCTTGGTAGCCTCACCCAATTGAACAATAAATGTCATTGAATCCAATTTTCCATATGTTTTCACCCGTGGGGCCTGGCATTTTCCTGATTTTTCCCGCCGTTTGAACAACTCCTTTCAGGGGTTTCATTCGGCTTCGGTCGGTTGCCAGTGGCAGCCGCCGTTTGAACTTGTTTGACATTCCACCGACAATCAAATCAGATGCCCCGATATCCACCCAGCTCCTCGGAGCCCAGACAATTGTTCGGTTCGCCACAAAAGCACTTCCCCCGCCGCCTTTTTCCATGGATTTCGCCTCCGTCAGCAATTATTCAATGCTTAATCATCGGAGGGCATCGGTGGCATGAATGGCATAAATCTTATTAAATATTCAAATAACACAGAACGCCATACACAGCGCACCAGAAATGCGGGCATAATTACGCGGCAATGAGTAAAAAATGCGCCACAAAGAAAAAAAAACCACAAATGGTCAACGAACATTGGAGGCGATTATGATTGCAGCCAACAGCCGCGGGTGGAAAAGCGGGAAAGTTCTGGGGGCAAGTTCCAAAGCGGTTTTGTGCCTCTTCTCTAGGCGTAGCCAATGCAATTATTTCATTTCCATTTTCATACACACACACACGCACACATGTGGGCGTGTTGCCGCCCCCGATGGGGAATTGCCTCGGGCTGTCGTCATCGTCGTTATCGTCTTAATAGCGCCTGGCGACCGAAACTATTTGAATAACGCGCCGTCCACGCCCACGACCTGCGAACCCCTGACCCCTGCGCAATCCACGCATTCCCCGCACACATGTGCACCACCTCCTCCACTTCGTCCTGTGGCCAGGACCCCACCCATGGTGTCCCCTTCGTGTTAATAGTTTTTCCCTTTGTTGCCGGCCGTTTTCTGCTGTTTACCTTATCGCATGTCCTGGCTGGAAGTGAACGTAGTCCAGACCACAATTACTGGAAAATTAACGCAATTAGATTTGGCTGGCCAAGCCTTTGATCTCTGAAGCCTATGAAGTTGTATAAGCCTAAGCACACAATGGATAACGTTGAAAAGGTGGAGTCCAGATCCCTTCTAACATAACTAATTTAACGAAATTGAAAATAACATTTTCTAACTGGAATCAAATGGAAAACGCTCACATGCAATGTAATGTATGTAACTAGTTTCATTAGTATGATCGAATACATTTCCACACAGAAAAGTTTGAGCACCCACATAGTGCTTAGCTCATTTCGGATTGTGATTAGATAATGTAGTTTATTTTTCGATTCATATAATATTCTCCCCGTTATTTATTTAATACGCAATTTCCATTAGCATTTGAGGCCTTCCCAGGGGCTTATGAATAAAGTATATGCCAATTCCAGCAACGCTATAATTTTATGGTTGAAAAACATGTCTGTAACGAGACCGAAACATGACATTATAATAAGTAATATCAGACTAATTTGTTTTCCGTCTCTATATGTTTTTGCAGATACATTGCATTAGTCAGCAGATCGAGGACTGCTAGTGTACGTGACTTGGCCTTTTCCAGGACTCAATCGAAAGGTAAGTACATGTCCTGAGGGGCTGCACAAATGCGAGGGTACATATGCGAGTGATAGGAATTCTCCGGCGTCAGGAATTCCAACTAATTAAGTAGGACCCCTATGAAACTCACTTTTGGAGCGCTGAAACAGGTGGATAAATGGGGGATTGTGTACATGACAGGGCGATAAATGGGGGTTGTCAACTGGCTGGAGATGCCCGGCATCTTGAAAATGTTTTATTCAAAAATTGCTAAAATATTTGGCAAGTGAGTTAAAAGTTTTCTCAGACGAGTCTGTCTGCCAAGTCTGTATTTATGTTTGCTTGTGTTTGTCTTTGCGGAGCATTTTTGCCTAGCTGAAGGAATTTATTATATAATCACGGAGCAGGGGAAACTCAAGAAGCTCAACGAGCATGACAAATTTTCACTTTGCGTCAGAAAGAAGTTGCAACAAACTTGCAACAGCGAAAATAATTTCGCTCCTCGTTGAGAGTCAAAACACACAGTCCTGTAGGAAAAGAATGGCAAAAGTGGAAAAGTGGAAAAGGAAGGGAAAAGCCTCGGACGACTACTTATCTGCCAGGACAGTCGGCCAACACTTTTGGCCAGGTGCTGCCAATTTGGGCGTTAAGCAGTTGCCAGGACCCTCGAAGTCCTGCGAGAGATGAGGCAACTTAAAGCACAGCCGAAAAGGAGGCCACCAAGAATCGGGACTAAAAAATCGGGAGTGACGGCCAAAGTAATGTGCCAGCCAGCTCAAGTGCAGTGGGGCGTTGGCTGTCTGAATGCCGCAGGGGGCGTGGCAGGCATATGCATACTCGTACATAGCCAGCTTTTTGCCCAGAAATATGTGTCAACAGAAAGGCAAGGACGAAAGTTTGCGCTGGCAACTAGTTTCCATTTTATTCTGCTGACAGGTATGCTAAAAGCTAAAAAACGTACAGGACCAAGTCTAGGAGCAGTTTCTGGGAAATGGAGCCCAAGTTAAGAGTAGTCAAAAGTGCGAGAATGAGTCCTGTCGGCAGATTTCACTTTTGGCAATATGGAATAGGGAGCGTTGAATTGGTGGGCGGTTAGGCGCCTCCCCCAAGGACAATATGTGTGACAGCTGGCAATGACTGCCTCGCATGATAACAGAAATAACAATAAGCGGGCCAAGAAACAAAAAATGTGAGCAACAGCGGCAAGTGAAAGGGTTAACAAATGGCAGTCGAAACTTTGGCGCGACTGTCAAAATAAATGCGAAGCAATTTATGAAATATTTATGAAGTGTGACGTGGCTGACAATAAATATATATGGGCAAGGATCCTGCATGCCCGCCCATCCGCATCCTCAGATTTGATCGAAACAGACTCCGACTCCAACTGGCGCTGACAAGTGACGCAAGCCAAGGACAAATCCGCATATTTGTGAGCCTTAATAAAAATGCGAATAAAACGTGCGGACGTCATAACTGGGCCCATTGATTGATGGCTGTGTTTCATTTGTCAGATGAGACGAGAGTGCCGGGTTCACGGGTCAGAAAACCTGGGGCGCGGGGCACTGAAGACATTCCACCGTAGACAGCAACTGCAGTTTGTCCAACTGACCAAGTTTTTGTAGCTGTCGTTTTATTTGCAGCTCAGCTAAATGGAAGGCGACTAACCCTTAGTGGCTCCATTCCCACCAATCCCACCAATCCCACCTCGCCAGTCAGTCAGAGTCACTCACTCAAAGTCAGGCACGTCCGAGCTGCGTCCATGTCACAGCTTAAAGTTATATGCACATGATAGAGGAACAGGACACGTAACTTGGGGAAATCTTACACGGACGGAAAATAAATGCACGGAGAGATAGAATTGATTTATTTAAGAGGAATACCGCAGGCTCGCTTAATCCTTAGCTAACAGTGCACGATTAAGTCTTCGCAAGTGTGATGTTACCAAATTGATATGTCTATATGAACCGCATACATAAGGATAAGCTTTTTTCCGCCGTGCACCAAAGCCGCTGCGGGAAATGCTGATTCTGACGATGATTCTGATGAGGATGAGGCGGCTGCATCTGATGGGGGACTGCCATAAACAACTACGAGTCTTCCGGCATAAAAACTTATTGTTGACAAAACCTCGGGACACACAGACGTGGGTGGCTAGAGTCCTGGTGCTGGTGTCCTGGCTGCCACAGCGGAAGTGTCACCATTTGTCAAATAACGAAAATTGAAAACAATTTCCACACAGCAGCATCCCGAGTCCGGGCTTTTGTCTTGATCAACCTTAGACGTGGTTGCTCTCCATCTGTGTGTGCTTGCCCCAAGTTTCCCGATACGGCAAACAAGGCCATAACGGGTCGGGTTTCTTGGCAGAGCCGCCTTTTTAAAGCCAAGAATTTCCATTGCTGGAAAACATTATCTGGCCCCGGTTGTTGTGTTTGCCCGGTTTCCCTGGGAAATTGCTTGCGTGGCTGTCAGCTTAGCTGCGGCTTTGCTCCAATTTCCCACTGGGTCGCCGTCATCATTGTTGTTGCTGCGGTTGATGTTGCTGCCGCTGCTGCTGCTTCTGCTGCTGCCTCGCTCCCTGTCGACACTTCTGTCACACTTTCACACGCCTCTCCCCCCCGCAAAAGGACTCGCTCGGCCCATTGTTTGCACGCACACCAGCACACTGCCAGGCACTCACACACAGACATATGCGCCACTCGCTTCGAAAGTTTAATCGAAATTATAAACAACAAGACAAATTGCTTCTTGTTGCAATTTTCGCCCAGCAACAACACCGCGATGGGCCAAACATCCTGGCTGTCCACAGTTGCAGCTCCTGTTGCTGTTGTCCTGAATGCGGCTGGTCATGTTATTATTGCAGTTGCTGCACTGACTTTCCTTAAGCTTCCGCCGTTCCCGCTCTTACTTTCGCTGATGTTGCAACTATCGCTGCTGAAAGTTTTAATGTTGTAGCTCCGTGGTGTTGCAACTATGGTTGTTACGGCTGCTTGAGTTGCTTAACACTGTTACCTGAGCAATTAGTGCTGCTACTGTTGCTTCACTGGAAGATGTTGCCAGTGTTGCACGTTGCCTTAGTCCTTTTGGGCTTGCTTATGTTGCATAGTGGTGCTTCTGGTCACAGTTTGTTACCAAAAGGCCAAATATTGACCATGTTGCTGTGCCAATTTGGCGGATGTTGCTCTTGCAACGGCAACATTGCCCCACCCCTCTGTTATTGCTGCCGTCGTGATTATCCACGTTAAAGTTTTTGTCTTTAATTTGGCGATGAGCCCGCTGCAGCAACATTATCCCAGCTGTTTCTGTTGCCAACTATATTACAGTTACTGTGCAGTCCTGCTGCAGTTACTCCCATTTTCCCCGGGGGAATCATTTCCTTGGTAATTGTTTGTCGTCAAGGTTGGCAGCTGCTGGTGTTTGCTTACGCTCCGAGATGAAGAACTTAAGCCGGGCAGCGTGCATTTAATCCGGGCAAGATGCCATCGTTATGTGTACAAGGACTTGAAATCCGCTCGGTCTAGACATTGTTATCGCCTGTATATATATTATTTAGATGAACTGAAGATGAATGAAACATCTCGCCCGTTCCTACGCACTCCATGTTTTTTGCACCCATTCGATCTCAACTTGCCACTTCGATTTGTGAGTCGCTTCGTCGCTTTCTGTTTTTGTGATTCTGACATGAAGGCAGTAGAGAAAAGTTTGCTCGCTTGATAAATGACTCATAAATGCTGAGTGAGGAGTCGCATAAATCTTATGATTTATGCATAATCAACAAATTGATTTTTCATTTGCTTGTAACGCTCTCTTTCAGCCATTTTCCCACTCCCCCTTTTCCCTTCTGGCCATTCCATTCAGGCCTTTGAGTAATTGGCTGTCAGCGACGCGCTGCTCCATGTGTGCACAGAAAAAAAAGTAGGTGTGATGTGTGAAAGCCGTATCCATAACTGGAAAACAGACACGAATGCATGGCAAATCCAGTTTGCAGTTTCCAGTACGCATTTTCCCACTGATTTTGGTTCAGTGCGAAAATGAAAATCCAAGTGTGGGCGAATTTTCCACTTGCTTTCTTCTTTTTGTGCGAAAATCTAATTACACACACATCCAGTATATTTTTTGATTTGCTGCTTCACGAAACACTTAAAAATTCCCAGTATATGTGAGGCATCCCCATCCATTGCCGCATATATATATCCAGCTATATAAGATGCGGTTCACTCTTCGCAAGTGTATATACTCGTATAGAAAAGGATATGTGTGCGTCTGTTCGTGGACATTTTAGTTTCGACTTTGCTTTGATATTTAAATTGAAGCCATCAAGTCATCTTCAGCTGCCTCGTCTGGCTGCGCAAAGTTTTCATGTATATTTTGAGTACTTAATCCTGCGGTGTGAGCCACTTCTAATGCTCCTTGAGCCCTGAACTTTGCCCAAAAGGAGCAGATGAAGAGCGGACGGGGCAGGGGGTATAAGCCAGCTGGCTAAGCCGGAATAAGCATCGCATCATGCTACGCAGCACTTATCATCGTTTTATTTAAAATTTATAATCGAAATCAATGTAATGAAGCATGCCCGAGTCAATAACTCAAGTGACTTTCGGCTTTCCAGCCGTCTAATCCCCACCACGCCCCCCCGAAATTGCGACAATATTTTATGCAAATCACTGGGCTGACTGCCGATAACGACGATAACTCACTTGACAACTGACAATAACTTATTTACACTTCATTATGCCATCCAACCCGGCAGTCGAGGGCCAAAAAGACCAAAGCCAGCCAGCCAAAAAAGCCAACCAGAATCCGAAATATGCCCGGTGTCAGTGTGACTTATTAATTTATTAAAAAATTCGAGCATAATTAGAGAGCACTTTGCCCGATGGCACTTGAAATGCAAAATGAAGCAGGGGCAGCAAAAACGTAGGCCATTGAGCGAACAATCAGCGACAGTGTTGCAGTTATTTATGAGCTCGATAAATTTGTTTATGGGGGTAAAAGGGAAAACCCAAGTGGATTGGGAAAGGGCCAAGTGACAAAGCAGCCGAGCGTCAAATGAAGTCAGCAGGAGGCTTCGCAACGAGCCAATTCAACTTTCATGGGGGCGCAACCAAAAAGGGGCAATAAGTTGAGGGGCTGGGATGCGGATGAATCCAGCGCGGCATGCCGCGAATTGGGCCAAATGAAATATGAGCAAAAGTGAGAAAGTTAACAACATTAATTAGCATTTTTATGAAGCACTTCCAGCAGAACCGGGAACAATAAAGCCATCAAGTGGGCAAATAAACTCCGATGAATGGCTGCCAACTTTGATTCCAGTTTCAATTTTTCGCCACCTTAAACAAGGCTCAGTTGTCATAAACATAAAATGAAGTCCATTTGTTAGGCTCGACTTTATTTCGGCGCAAAAACCGGGCCATGAATATCGAATTTTCGTTGGAAACATTTCCACCTTGGTCTCTATGATGACGGATACACTCAGCGCATGAGTTGTGTTGAAAAGGGTTCAATTGAGCATATCCACCCCGTTTAAAAACTTTACATGTTGGCATATTCCAGTGCGGCATGAAAATATAAATATACAATATATATAAAACACTGCTGTTCATTTCTCCAAGTGTTGTAGCCCAAGGCACTGTAAGATAAACCAATTTTATTGACCACGTCATTCCGTTTTGTTCCCTGAATTGCAGAATCCGCTCCGCCGAGCGATAGGAATAAGCTCGCCATGTTGCCGCATCATCAGCGCCATAAAATGGCGGCTTTGGCGGACAGCGCCATCGGTTTCCTGCTCCTTGCGCTCCTGCTAATTGGCGCCTGCCTGGTCCCGCCCACCGAAGGACGCGCCAAGGATGACCGTCGCACCAGGGGGCGTGGCAGCAGCAGTGGCGTCCTCTCCTCCTCCTCCAGCAGCAGCAACATGAACAATGGCTACTACAGCGGCTCCTCGTCGACAGCGGGCTCCTCCTCCGGCTACGTATTCACCAGCAGCAGTGCCGTGAACTCGGGCAGCACTGGCTACAGTGGACCCATGGACAGCACTGGATTCTGCACCCGGCGGCGGGACATGAAGCTGATGTGCTACTGCACCCCGGATGAGAACCATGTGCCAGTGCAGAAGGCCGAGTGCTGGGTGTTCTCGGAGGGATTGCATCAGAACGACACCACCTGGACGCGGTTCTACCAGCAGAAGCGTTTGCGGGAACTCAAGTTTGTGATCCAAAACAATGCCCGATTGGACTATATACCCACCATGATCATCGAGCCGCTGAAGAACCTGAGCAGCATTGTGATTGAGTACTCGCAGGTGGAGATCGTCAAGAGCTATGCCTTCGCCAATCTGCCCTTCTTGGAGAGGATCATCCTGAATAACAACCACATAATGGCCCTGGACCAGGATGCCTTCGCCAATCACATCAGGCTGAGGGAGTTGAACCTGGAGCACAACCAGATCTTCGAGATGGATCGCTATGCCTTCCGTAATCTGCCACTTTGCGAGCGGCTCTTTCTGAATAACAACAATATCAGCACTCTTCACGAGGGTCTCTTCGCTGATATGGCCAGGCTAACCTTCCTGAACCTGGCCCACAACCAGATTAATGTGCTGACCAGCGAGATTTTCCGGGGACTGGGCAACCTAAATGTGCTGAAGCTGACCCGAAACAATCTGAACTTCATCGGCGATACTGTATTCGCGGAATTGTGGAGCCTGAGTGAGCTGGAACTGGACGATAATCGCATTGAGGTGAGTGCATCCTTAAAAACGAGTGGAGATTATGGGGGAAAGTCCATCATTGTGTAATTTCCTCGGCAAAAACCCATTTAAGATTGGGCATGATTCCCCAGATTGATTGGTTTTACAAGTGCGCATTTATAGCACTCGAAATAGTTGTTCGACTGATTTTATTTATAGCCAACCTATGTAGGGCACTGCAATCTAGGAGCACGAAACTTCTCAATCAACTCTAATGCAAGTGGATTAAAAAGATTTGTCTGCCTCGGTCACTTGGTCAACTTGGAGCAGCTGACTTAAGGGGCCATAAATTGCCGAGTGGCCATAAGAAACAGAAGGGACGAGGGCGGGGCGCCATAAATGCCATATCCTTGGGCCAAAACACACAGGCAACTTTTTTGCTGGTGTCATAAATTCAATTCGAATGTCTATTCTTGTGGTGATTTAAGTGGTCACTCAGCATCGCTGGCCCGTTGGCCCGCTGGTCGTTTTCTGTAGGGGAAATATGATAAATAGATTGGTAAATTATGTTTTCTACGTTTTTGGTGTGGACAAGGTCCTATTTTCGTCCCCGACTTTCGTCCTGGCTTAATTCGCACATTTACCCTCTGCAACGGACCGCACGCTGACAGTCGCCTTTCGGCGCTCGGTGGCAAACAAATGTGCGCCGCAAGTTAATCTACTTACAAAATATTGAATAACAAATCATGGGAATAATGGATTTATGGCGCTCCCTTTCTGCCATCTGATATCCGGCGAATGATGGCTGCTGGCCGGCAGGAGTGGAGAGTGGGGAGTGGGGAATGGAGACCCTTCTGTGTGTCCTGCGTATCCTGGCGGCCATAAAAATGGCCAGCGTGTGTGGGTAAATAGAAAAATGTCGCTTAACACTCGCAGCTTACAAAGTTATGTAAGGCAGCCGCATGAGCGTAAATCCTGAATATCCATATCCTGGACGAACATTGTTCCTTCCTTCCTTGGCTGGCCAGCTACTTGGCTGCTTGGCTGCTCCTTCATTTTTCCCATTTTACAAAGTGCTCGCATATCATGTCACACTCAGACGACTCCGCATATGTGTCAGGCCACCAGGACAGGACAGCAGGACACTCGAGAGCAGCCGCTCAAGTGGGGTCCTGTTCAGCTGAGGTCCTTGCCGCATTGTCATAGCCATAATGATTGGGCTTGTTATCGCCCACGTTGCGCTTTGTTTCGAGACCCGGTTTCCAGATTCCGGGATTTGCCTCGACCCGAAAAAATTCCCTTTCTCAGTTTGTGTTCGTGCCATTGTCGCCTTCAATAAAAGCAAATTGTGTTGCATGTTTGGCTTGGCTTTCCCTTTTTTATATATACACTTTTCTCCTTTTTCTTTTTCCCCTTGCTCACTTCATAAATCATTTGCCGTTGAAAGGTTTAGTTCTGACACAACATAAAACGCTGCATGTGTGTGAGGGTGTGAGGGTGTGCGGGTGTGTGGGTGTGTTGGTGGTCTGGGGATGAAGATAAACAGATAATCGGGTTAAGGGGCTAAGGGGCTAACCGAGTGCATTAAGGTGAAAGTGTAGGAGAAATTAACAGCTTTAAGCAGCTTTCTCTCTGCTTTGAAGATTAAAATAGTTGGCAGAGCCATTGCATCCGTATCAACCTAATGACAAGAATGTAGTAATGTCGCCAGAGTTTTCAGCATCTTGAGCATAGTAATTTCCATCTTGTCACATAATATTTAATAAGTGCAGTACATGTGGGTACTTAAGTCTTAGGTAGAGAAAGCAATTTAAAGGGAAGTTTGTGAGTGAGGAAGACTTCCGGCGAAGACCAGCCCACCCATTAATTCCGTTGTCATAACTTTGTTTACTCAATCCGCACACAAATCGCTCGTAAATTATATTTTTTCGCCGTTGTCAAGCTAATAAATTGGACGCGTAGGCATCGAAGGATCGCCCATCAAACTAACAAAATATCGCAATAAAATCATATTTTTTTATGTGTCAATCATCTGGGCAAATAAACAAGCATGAGAAGATTGGAGGCGACATGAGCTGAGGTTATTTTTCAATGCCACATCACGGCAGCAGGGAACTTTGGCACAAGCTGCCCCGCCCTCCACTCGTCATTTAATATGCATAATTTTTCCATTTCCCCAGACAAAGCATATTGAATATTAAATAATGGTGGAATGCGCCGCCTTCACTTTCGTTGTTCAGCCAAACAAAACGGCAACCAGATATGAAATAAAAGAAAACACTTTTCCGTATAATAAAATTCAAGACAAACGAATTGGGACATATAAGTTAAAAATAAAACGAACAAGACTTTATTGTACACGTATAAATGGCATATACATACACATAAATAAATTCGCAAACAAACAATGAAGACAATGACAACAACAATGGCACACGAAAAGCGAAACTCTGTGAAAAACAATGAAAATAATACGCAGAAATGCGGAAAAATGGCAGCACGAAAATATTTTTCGGTTTTTGTATGCCAAATATGGTATATAGTATATGCCATGTGGTCGCCGCTGTGAAAATAACATTTTGCACACAAGGCAAAAAAAAGCGAAAAAAATTTGCGTTTAATCAAATTTAAGCACAAGCTAAAAACTAATCTTCCTAACCCATTTCCATTTGCAGCGCATTTCCGAGCGCGCTCTCGACGGCCTGAATACACTGAAAACACTGAATCTGCGAAACAATCTGCTGAAGAAGATCGACAACGGCCTGCTGCGGGGAACCCCCGCCCTGCTGTCCATCAACGTGCAGGCAAACAAATTGGAAACGCTGACGTTCTACACATTCCAGCCAATTATGGACAATTTGGTCAACAGCACCAGCGAGCTGCTGGTGTCAGGTGAGTGTCCTCTGCTGCCAAAGTTCCCAACTTGGCTATGGAGCCATTTACTCGCAGCAGCGTACCAACTTTGACGGGCCATCGAGTGGCAGGGGAGACGTGACAAAAAGCTGACAAGTGCACAAAATGGGGCACTGTCAGAAGTCCGAACTTGTTATAATTACACATACGCCCCGTTGGCCCCGTTGGCCCCGTTGGCCAAGTTGCCCCGTTTAGTGCATATGCACTGCCGGCCAAATGAGCCGCTGGGCCATCAACTTTTATGCCCCTCGCCTTCATTAAGGAAATGCCGTATCGCCATTTCTCAAGTGTGCACTTCCACTTCCGCCGCCACTTTCCCCACTTTCCCCACCCAACCCACTTCCTTTTATGGCCTCGTGTGTCCTCGCATGTGTGTGTGCACGTATGTGTCCAAATTAGTCATTAAAGTGCAATTTTGAAGTGCTTTGCGGCGCGAACGCATGACAATAAAATATCTGCCCGTCGCAGCCACTTTAGTTCGGCTTAGTTTGCCCGGCGGCTAATAGCGAATGCAAATAGCGTGTTGATTGCCTCAATTAAAGGTAAATGAAAATGAAATAGTAAGTCCTGTGCAGCTGGCAATACTAATTTCACTAAGTAATGAACAGTTTCGGTGCAGCTACTTACAAATAACAACATAAATTATAGCTAAAGTCCTAGAGTCCTGCAAACTAAAACATAAATCCCACAGACAGCAGTTGAAAAGTGAGCAACAAAAGCTGATTGCTCCCAGGCATTTGCCAAGCGAAATTCTATCTTAATCACTTTCGAGTAATTTCGTTGCCTTTTCCAATGGTAATAACTTTAATTCAAGGCCCAGCCAAACTTTTAGCCCGCTTGTTTGCCGCCTTGAAAGAATCACCTTTCTCTGTGCAATTTAAGTAATTTTATTTTCGGCTTAGGCTGCAATTAGACTTTGGCGTAAACGCAAAGCTACTGCCAACAATGTGAATGGCTTTCGCCCATGGAATACATTTAAATATTTAACAACAGCCTTCAAAATCACATTTCTCTCTGTGAAACACCAGCACACACATGCACACAACTTAATTATCACCCTCACCCATACAGTGGCATTTTTGCTAATGGTTTGCCATTAGCATGACTCATTTGCAGTGCGAAAAAAAGTATGAAAAAGTTGGAAAAAGGACGAGTGACGAAGGAACGTCGGAATGGCTGAGCGCATTGCCAAACAAATGTGTGTGTGTGTGTGTGTGTGTGAGTGAGCAACTGTAATTGCATTGGCACACACACTCAAACACACGGACGCAGACATTTCACAAATTGGCTACAAATGACTTCAAATTGCTTTAAACTACAAAATATTTTCGCACTCGCCCCCCGAAAACTTTTTAATTCATATGCAGTGATTATTCCCGCACTCTGGCACATTTTCCGGCCTTTGAATGCGGCACTTACTGAATGCTTCATTAGACACGAAGCCAAGCCAAAGCCTAAAGTTCAAACATTTACATACGATTTCCTGATTAAATTTGCACAACTTTTTGCCTTTTGCCTTCAAGTTGTCGCCCTAATGAGGCTAAATGCCCGCTGACAGTCGCACTTCAAACGAAATCTCACAGAAATGTGTATGGGATTTCTTTTTCCTTCCCAAGATTGAAAAGGAAAAATGCTGCTCAATTTAGCGAGCGAGAAAACGCTTCCAAGTGGCAAGATGACACGATGGCAGCAAGCTGGCCAAGTGTCGAAGGTGGGCCGGTGGTGGCTGTCGGATGGAGCAGGATGTGCCAACTCGAGTGCATAAGAGCACATAAAATTGCAACAAAATGGCCAAGGACGCAGTTGACTCGCAGCAGACGGCCAAAGATAAACTCGCACTGGCAGCCATAAAACGTGACATGGGCATGGCACCTCCGTCCACCCATCGCTCACACTGGCCACATCCACATGCCACTGACAAGCGGCATTCCCCGGGCGAAAGTATTTGCCTCGGCGGCAACGACTAATCGATCAGCTGATGGAATTCCTGGGCAGGCCGCTCCCAAGGATGTGCCATCAAGGTGCGCAGTGGGCAAAACTATTTGCCAAAATGCTCGTCACACGCTTTGGGCTTCGGGGATTTTCCGGGCTTCTGCTCCGACTCCGGCTCCGGTTCAGGATCCCCGGACAAATGATCAGCATGTACTGGCTCCGAAATTGCAGCACATGCATCAAGCTGCAACTCGACGTGCAGGTGGGGCAGCCAGGGGTCGATGGTTGACTCTTCATTTCGCGCCGTGATTTGTGCAGCCACTTGAACTCTGCCCCCGGACGTAATTGGCATTGACAGGCGGCAGCTAAGCAGCTTTGCCGAGATTCTGGGAACACAGCGGTGGCAGCAACGGTGCAGGCAAAGAAACGGATATATTAGCCTAATATATGTTCAAGGTTACCAAAAAAGAGTCAAAAATGTACATGCCATCTACTTAAAACGTAAAGGAATATGTTTTCGTTTAGCAAATTGCTTAGATGAATGTGACTTGTGTTGCACGTTGCAACAAAAGTAATTTTCCAAAAGTGCTAGCCCCGTTTTTCGAGTGTCCTGCTGAGTAGTGACATCGACCGCTGCAAAGCCTGCTTCTGCATTCAACTGTTGTCCGTGTGCGGGCAGTTGAGCACCGGTCCCTAAACAATGCCCCAGTTGGCCATTTCACGGACCTTTGAGCCACGGACCACACCCACTGCGCCGCCCACTGCCACATTCCAGCTGCAGCTGCAGTTGCACCTTTGGCCAATGTATTTGGTGAAAAATTTATAGGCACGCCCTGCATTGTGGCATTTGTTTCAATTCCGAGGCCCCAAAGGGTCATGTGTGCTTGTGTGCGAGTGGGTGGGCAAGTGGAGCCGGAGGATTCCTCTGCAGCCTTGTTTATTTGTATGCGAATCACGTTTGTTTGTGTCGTCGCGCCTGTGGTGTCCTGTTGGTCTCGTCCACCGCCACCGATGTCCTGGCAGGCAGGGCGAGTGCTTCCGCTTTAAAGGCAGCTCGCATTTTTCACAAAAGGCGCCGCCATAGCAATTGCTAATAAATGCCACGCCCCAAAGTTTCCAGCGCCCACCTCCCGAGGGTCGTGGCCAGCTCAATTGGTTCGTTATGCTCGCCGGTGGCCAGCGCCGCAGTCGTTAGATGGAATTGAATGGTTATTGTTCCGAAATATAAATAGGATTTCTAACAGATTTTTTCCAAGCTCTGTTTTTGCCGCTCTGCCAAATAGCCAAAAACAATGTAAAAATTGCGACTGTGGGCATGACAGCTGGAAACTGCAATTTGATTATTCGCTCCAGCCCTTTCGGTTTCGGTTTCTGTTTCGGTTTCTGTTTCTGGTTCTGTTGGCTTGGCAGCACTTAATGGAGTATTGTAAAATGCCAGAGTTCATAAATTTTCATGAGGCAAACGGAAAGTGAGAGCCTGCAGAGGGCACTTCGAATAATATTTGGTTTCACTGAGGTTAAAATGGCTCCAGTTGCGTATTGATTTTCAATCGCATGTAAACTATGAATCACAGTTTGAGTTTTAATTTTAACAAAGGTGAATTCACCACCTATAAACCTATAAAACAATAGTTTATGCTCGCCATAATAACAGCCCATAAAACTAGTAGCATTAGGTTTATCCCTCACTAAATGAATTCCGCTCCCCAGGGTGAGCTAAACCTGTTTACGTCTTTATTAACCTTAATAATTAGTCAAGTGATTAATTTGCAAGTACTTACTGAAGCTGATTAATACATGAGTAGGCGCCAGCTTAATGCACTTTATAGAATTTTCCCTACTTTGAAATAGGGTCTTGACCCCAGGCAGTTAAATTGCCCAGTTGGGCAGCAAATTAAACTTTCAACTCATTTGCAATGCAGCATCAGCATCCTTGTAAACACTGCGCGCCCAAAGCTGCAACAATAAACAGGTATTAGGGCTTTGGAGGGGCAGGATATGGGGCGAGTTTGGACGCCGGAAGCGAGAATTTATTGGTACGCATAAAAGGCGTTTGCGCCTCATTGGCAAAAATGCCAAAACAAATGATGTTGGCCATAAACTGGACAAATGAGCGTGTGGCACGCACCCGAAATTGACTTTCAATAGTCAATGTCAGCGCAGCAGTTGCTCCATGTCCTGCATGTGCCGCTGCAAATCCCGATGATTGCCAGCCATAAATCTATGGCTCAGCATTGTGTAGCATGTGTCCAGCCAGACTAATAAGTGGGTCTCCAGTTTGATGGGACTAGACCAGCTCTGATTCCACATGCGTACCTACCGCCATATGGAGCGTACATATTTATTTGGCGGCTGGATAGATAGATAGATAGATAGATAGATAGATACAGATGTGTGTTTATGTGGCGAACATGCATGCATAAGTAGTAATTCATTCCGTTTCGATTCGTTTCATTGCGTTTCATTTGCAATTTGCTGCTGAGCACTGCATAAATCACTCCTCGCCCCCGAAAGTATGCCAAAAGGGGAGCTATAAATATTTTAGAATTCAATTTCCGCACTTCCTTGGCGACGAGCATTGCTGTGTGGTAAGGATGGCAAGGATGTGGATGGGCACGCTTTTGAGCTCAAATTCACGCATCATAAATTAAAATCTCCGCCGCCTGTCCACGTAATTAAACGCAAACTCATCGCTCATCTTTTGTTCGACAGTGCGCGGCATGCATTTAATTGTCTTTCGCCTTTCGCCGGGCACCGTTTTAATTACTCACCTTTTTTTCTATAGCCGCAGGCAACAATTCGATTGAATGAAAACTGAAACTATGCGCACACGCCGCGCATACTTTTTATTTTTAAACAAACAATGAATGCCAGGGGAAATGGCTGCAAATTCCGGTGGCATGAAAAGCGGCGCCTGAGAGCTAATGGACATATTCATGCAATTTCCCCACACTTCCAGGGCCAGCGGCCACATTAAGTAGTTCAATTATAACTTAAATGCGTATTATTAATGAGTTTTTATTGTATAATGTTGGACAACTTTCTGC